TAGATTAACTAAAGTAACCTACATTAATGAAATTCTGCCCAGTTTCAGTAAAGCATGTTGCTGTTGTTCCTTCTAGGAATGGAAGACATCACAAAAGGAGCTCAAGAACTTGACAACATCATCAAGCAAGGTTACTTGGAGAAGAAAAGCAAAGGTACAAATCAGACCCATTATCTCAGCACATTCTGGGAAAGGAAGACAAATGAAGTGTAGAGCTAAGAGCCAGGTGCCTTCTTGAAGCCCAGTGAGTGCCAGCCGCGTGGGGGCAGCAAGGACAGCAGGAAGCCTGGTGTTTGTGTGCAGGCTGAAGAGACATGGCCTGTAATTTTAGGTGACTTTAGCACCAGGTAAAATTAGAACGTGAGCTTCCTCAGAATGGAGACTGGTCTGCCTTGCTCACGTGGCGCACAAGTGTTTGATTAACACTGATAAATGATGGGTGACTTGTTCTTACCTCTGAGTGTGCTCCCACAAAACATAGTTCGACAAAGTGACACTGAGTTACCAAAATATAATTTGTATATCCTAATGGGAGCAGCCCACTTTCAAGTTCTGAGGAGCCCAAGTCTTGACCTTTCACTCATTTGATTAGAAGAGACAGCCTGAGGTTTAATACTCAACAGGCAAATTGGCTTAGCAGAAGTCGTTCTCGTGCTTGAACATCATTTTGGTTTGCTAAAAGGCAACAGAGAAAGACGTGGAGAATTTTTTAAGTACCGGATGATATTAGAACCTGAAAGATGTCAAGGAAGACAGAGAGACGGCTGTGAAGGGACAGCCTGCAAGCTCTGTAGATCCCAGGGTTACAGAGCGAGCCCCCAGACTGAAGCAATGCCTGCTCACCTGTGGGAGTGAGGGAGGGCTTCACAGTCCATTAACCTGGGAGGTAAAACAGTAACACGCTGGACTGTGTGGGGTTGGATTTTACGGACGTGTCAGTGATTGTGTCAGTGATTGTAGTTACCTGAATTTATGTCCCTTGCTGCTGTTCCATTTAGATCATAGTTTCTTCGGATCAGAGTGGCAGAAGCGGTGGTGTGTTGTCAGCAGAGGCCTTTTCTACTACTATGCTAATGAGAAAAGTAAGTGTTCTTCATTTGCACAGCAGCATCTCACTCCTGGATGCAAGCACTTCGTAAATTCTCAAGCACTTAGATCTCAAGATAGCAGTCCTTAACTAACACCTACAATGGGGAACACTTAGGAGGGAAATCGACTCCGGTGAAGAACACCTTACCCATCACCAAACTCTCAGGTGCCGATTTCAAAGTTATTTGCCTTTAAACACTAAGATAGTGTCGTCAGCATATCAATAGGTTGTCTTTTATTAGGATCAATAAATTAGGATCGATAACATAACATCAAGGTTCAATACTTTGGCATTCTTACTTTTGAAAAAGCCTCAAACTCCTTGCAGGTATTAAGAACATAGTTAAAGTATTGAAAGCAGATATTCTGAGAAAGATTTAAACAGCTCACCAGTGGAAGTGAGTCCAAACTCCTTAAGAGTATGCCCCCATTTTATCTTCCAGAGAAGGGCTTCCTTGGAGTAATTCCCCAAAGACACTGGCAGACAGAGTGAGGCCCCAGTTTTTGCAGGGACTTCGCTTGTGCTTCACCATCTCCATACAGAGTCCAGCTGTTACAGGGTAGCCCAGAGAGGACTGGGCCCCCTGTCTGTGGGGCCTCACCCGCGCGCTCACAATTCAGTTATACCGCAGGCACACACAAAAGGGTCAATAACGGGTTTATTTACTAAAGGGGAAAGGAACAGGAAACAACCCAGGGAAAGAGAGCGGGATACCAAGTAACTGGAATACCTTACAGCTAGGCTGACTGAAAACACCGAGTCATGCAGTCCGAAAAGCCGTTTCCTGAGCAAGAGAGCGAGAGACACAATGGTCCCCTATTTATCCCCCAAATGTCCCAGAATTCCTGTTAGCTCCGCCCTTGGGTCCTCGCAGTTCTCTCCCTGGTACTGCTGGGAGTTGTAGTTTCCAATCACTGGAGTAGAGGGTAGAGTCCAGAAAGCTGGAGTAGGGGGTGGAGTCCACAGACTGCAGAGTTCCTTTAGGACATCCTTCCCCTTAACACAGCCAGTTCTTCCCTTCCTTTCCCACCATTTTGTCTCCCCTCTCTTCCTCCTGTGCCAGACTTACTCCTCTCCCAATGCCCAGGTCATCAGGTAGCAGAAAGAACTGCAGTTTTGCCTAATGACTTGGAACCCTTAAGATGTGTCCTTGAACTTGAAGGTGACTGCCTCATACGGGCTCTTGTGCCCACAACAGGAATCACTGCCCATGTTGGGTTCACCACCTTGGTTCCTCAGAGCCTTCCCAGCCAGCGAAGCCCTATTTGGATATGACAGTAGCCCAGCACAGTAACAAGTCCCCTGACCCTCCCAACCCCCACCCCATACAGATTCAGCAGCCCCAGCACCACCCCCACCCTGGGAATTCTAGGCTCACCAACCAGCCAGGGTGCTATTTTCTACCTTAAACCTTCCAACTCAGAAGACATTTGTTGTTGTAAAAATGTTCATTTCCCTTGCATTTAAAGCAGTGGTTGGCATATGAGGATAGAAAGCCACATGTGTACATCCAGAACCTTTTACACTCAAGGTGAGAGAGGGGGAGCGCAAGAGCTAAAGACTGGGATACTTTTATTGACCATTTTGCCATCAGGGTGAAATAAAATCTGGTGACCGAAGAAACAACAAAACATTTTAGTGGCCAGTTAGAACAAGGAGAGATACTTTAACAAAAAAGATTCCAGTGTCAGAGCTCTGTCGCATAGTCCCTCCTCACCAGTTATTCCTTATTGCGCCCAAGACGTTTTCTTAGTAAGTGAAGAGTGTTTGTGTATTTCTTTTAGCTCAACCAGGTGAGGACAGCCTTTTCCTTTTCTCTTCATGGTGTCATCCCGCTGCCATTCTTCTGCTTGTCAGTATTGACGAGCATTGTTGGATAGCTCATGCCACGTGGTGCGGGTCACAAAGCCCCATCCGGACCCCCTGAGCCCTGAGCCCTGAGGACACGACTGCTCAGGCCCCTCCACTTCCCTGCTCCTGACACTTTGGGGTTTGAGCCAGGACTGGGAGGCAGAGCAGTGGCTCCTTCCACCCACATGGGGTCATTCATCTTTGGTCTCCCTCCCTGTCATCTAGTGAGACTCAGCTGTATTCGGCCATTTCCCGGTTTGACCTCCTAACGGGGGATAAAATACTGAATGGCTGGAGTTTTTTTATGTTCTTTTTTATTGAGGTGACATCGGTTTACAACGCTGTACTTGGTTCAGAGGAACAGATTCACACCCCTCCACCAAGGGCATGCGAGCCCCCCACACCCAGGGCCGAGGCACCCACCGCCCTCTACCATAGTGTACCCTGCTCCCTACCCCATTCTGGTGACCTCGATTCTGTAGTCTTGTTTCTGGGGTTTGCTTGGTTTTGGTTTTGTCTGTGCCTGAGTTTTAATGATCCTTCCTCCAGCATAAATCCCCACCTTATCAGCTGGAGGGGCAGGCAGTCTAGCCCAAAGCCTACACGGGGCTTGGGAGGCGACCCCGGAACTCACAAGGCCGCCTGCACCGCCGTCCCTCCCCTCAGATGTGAGCTCTGCTGGCCCTGATAATAACGTCTCAGCTCTGTAATGGCCTTCAAGAGCCTCACGTTCGCGGCCACACTCTCCCTGCTGTAATAATTCCTTCTTTCTGTTATTATAGATCTCTTAACATTCTAATAAATTCTCTGTCTCTGATGTACTCTTTTGGCAAAATAACCTTTCGTGTTGCATTTCCCTAGCTTGGCAGTGATCCGCCTCGCCGCCACAGTAGCCTCTTCTTAAGCTTCTCTAATAACCTTCCCTTGACTGCTGTGGTTCCTCCGGGATGGAACAGCTGTTTCTGTGCTTTTATTTTACATACCAGAGGAGATGCCTTCCCTTGGCAGTTGCATCTCTCGGGACCCAGGGAGCTTTCCTGTCTTGCAGGCAAGCAGCCCAAAGGGACCTTCCTCATCAAGGGCTACCATGTACGGATGGCTCCCCACCTGCGAAAAGACTCCAAGAAGGAATCCTGCTTCGAACTGACCTCTCAGGATAGGCGCAGCTATGAGGTAGGAGGACGCGAGAGGTGGTGGCCTCATTCGCCGCCTTTCACCGCAGGTGGCTGTGAGCTGTGGTGCGGCGCTGGGGTCTGTCCTGTCTTTGCTACCTGTTCATTTCCCATCAGGACCTGCTTGCTCGCGTGTCCTCGCCGTTGCCAGCCGTCCCCTCCCTCGGCTGTCTGTCGCCACCCTCATCCCAGGCTGCCTGTGCTTGGCTTCAGTCAGGCCCTCGTCCTCTCACTCCGTGGAGAGCCTTGCCTGTGTGGCACACGATCTAATTATTTATTCAGTCTCCAGTTTCGTGGCTTTGATTCCCATTCTCTTTACTTGTCCACTGATTATCTTCATTTCCTCCCATGAAATCCAGAAAAAGAAAAATCCGACTACGGGCTGAAAATAATTTATTTTCCCATACTCGTCTTGCTATCCAGGATCATCTTCCTGTGGGGGCGTCACATATCTCTGGCGGGTTTCTAAGATATTGCTGACAGTGATTACTGAGCATGAGCAGTCAGCGCTGAGTCTAGAGAATCTGGGTGGGAGTAACAAAGACTTATCCTTCACTATGTTCATTTTTTAATTTTTTCATATAATATGATATGTTATATACGTATTACTTCTTATGAAATCAATTAGAGCTATAAAACTTCTGACCATAAAAATATAGTGATTTTCAGCAATAATAATCTTTACATTTAGTGTATATACATATTGTTCCCTGCTTATTTTTATCTTACCGCCATTTTACTAAAACAATTTAGACAACTTTCGCTAACTTACAAAGAGAAAAATCATGCTAGTCATTTGAATAACTCTTTGTTCAAATCTTTCTCAGTGTTCATTCCTTTGTGTTTTTACAGTATCTTAAACCTTATTTTGATCAAATAACCTAGGTCTTCATTATGTAGTTTCAAAACTTATTTTTAATTTAAAGTAAACTTCCCCAGAGATTCCTTTAAAGATGTAACTAATGTACATGTACGCACTGGGCATGTTTCTCTAAGTTATTTTTATTATTCAGACCTGATGGTTTCTCATCCAGATAAAAATTTATATGACAAGTCTAAATCAATTTCCCTAGACATTCCTTATAGAAATGTGTTTTTAAGAAACCAGGAATGACAATGTCGATTAATAAGTATTAAGCAGGAATCCAGGTTTTTTATACAGCACATATCTTTATCTTACTCTAATGGCCAGATAATAAAAATGTTTTTCAGGAACAGTCATTTCAAGTTGATTCATTTAAAATAAAAAATTGCCAAGGCTTGATGCTTCACTGGCCTGTTTTGTGAATCAGAATGTAGAGTTTGTTTACTTCTTCTTTTCTTTGGCCCATTGAATTCAAGTCATTACCATGGTCTGTGGGTTCTTCCTCTACATCCTTTGGGTCTCTCCCTTCGTATTTATCCCCACAGCCTTCACAATAGTTAAGTCCCTATCACTTTACCCAGAGGACTAGTTAAATCGCCTTCTAGTGGGTCTACTGTCTCCAATTTTCCCTGTTCCCGTCCCTCCTATTCACACGACTGCAAGAATCTCCCCCTCCTTGGGCTGGAATGTGGTGACCTGCTGCCAGGCAGTTTCTACCAACTCATTTTTTTTAAGAATTATTTATTTATTCACACAGAACTGGGGTACAGGCCAGAGGTGCAAGGGCCATGAGAGGATCAGAGACAGAGTGGGGAGCAGAACCGGCTGACTGAAGAAGTACACTGCTGAGGGGAGCAGCGGGTGGGTCAGGAGAGGGCTGCCGTGCCATGTGGGTCACCTCCGGGGTGGGGATCGAACTCGCCCTGAGGGGGCTGCAGCCAGCTTGCAGTGCTGTGTCCTAACCCGTTGCGCCACGAGGGGGGGGCCGTCTACCAACTCATTTTGAAAGCCCAAAAGAGTGAATTTCAGTAGCCCCGGGTTACTCTAGGCACCAGTAACTGCTCTGTCGTCATGTCGCCTCCTGCTTCTAGCAGAGGGACCTGCTTTGGGGTGCTCCCCGTGTTGTGATCACCAAGGGAGGGTGCTGTCGCCATAACCAATGCATTTGTTCTTTGAATTAGAAAACTTGGCTTGCTTTTTTTCCCTCTGTAAACTTGTCTTAAATAAATGCCTGATGGATGAATGAGTAATCAAATGCATGCATATGGGTGTACATGCCTGGGCTCCATAGCTGTCAACATGGGGTGAGGAAAATTGCTAAAGAAAGAAGACCCTTTGAGTAAGAGTTTGACCTTTTTTCTAGTATCAAACAGGCAAAAAATCCTGAGCTTTCAACTTAACTCTGAAACTTGACTCACAAGTTCCCTCCCTTGAACACTCCTATAGGATTCATGGAAATTTTAGTGAAAGTGATACATTAATCACTAATTTTTCTCCAGTTCACAGCTACTAATCCAGCTGAAGCCAGAGACTGGGTGGACCAAATAAGTTTCTTGTTAAAGGGTAAGTAACACTTGAGTGGATTTTGAAGTTGAAGTTCTTTTGCATAAAATATAATCCACAGGCTTCAATATTTTTTTTTCCCTGCCCTGTTCTCCCTTCTACCTTCCATCACTTCCCTCATAGCAAGTAGTATTGTGCATGAATTAGAAGATAAAGAAACTGTCTGCCTGGGGGTAAGGCCACTCTGGTCGCTCACTGCCCGACAGACAGGTATAGTGTTGTGATCACCAGGCCAGGAGATTCTGGAAAGTAGCTCAGCTCAATTCACTGTCAACTAACTCCCAAATATTTTTGAAAGGAAATGTGTGATACTAAACTTAAAGTCACCTTGATGCAGTTTAGGTCTCCAAAATCGTCTTATTTTAGTCTTAGTAGGGAGTAGAAATCTAAACTCAGATTACCACACTTCAAGAACACCAGACATTAAAAGCAACTTGCTGTTTTCCCAGTAACGAGCTTCTGGCTTTGGATGGGGAGAGCCCGAAGACATTAGTTAGATGACTGCTCTTAGAGTACCCTCTGCTGGCCAGCCTGCAGGTGACAGTGGCCAGGGAAGCCTTGCCTGGGAGTGGCCCGGCAGGTAGGAGTAGCCAACCTTGAGTCTGCCATGGGGCACCAGGTCACCCTCATGTAGCACTGTGGCAGGCCCCTGGCTCCGCACACAGACAGAAACACCAGCTGGTTCGTGGGGCAACCTGAAGCATTTCAACCTAAAAACACCAAGTCTTTCCATCAGTTTTTTATTCTACTATGAGATTTTATTGTGGATAAAAAGGAAGAAGCACCAGAGCTTTAATTACAAGAATGCCTGTTTTATTCAGTTTATGCCTTTGCTATCACGAAAACAAACTATTGCATCTACCAAGAGCATCACGTATAATAGACTGGAACTAGGCAAACATGAACATTGATGGCGAGACTACAGGGTACACTCTCATCTAGGTGCCTTGGATTTATGCGTGTAATATACCCCTAAGTGTGTAAACCTCAATAAAACTCAAAGCAGCTTTATTGAGCTGTACCCTGTGGTACTTTCAGAATCCCACATTGAAGAAATTATTCATTCCATTTTATTTTAAAACAAACGAAATAATAGCATATGGTCTAAGCCACAAATGTGTCTTTGATCCCTTTCTCATATGAGGTGGCACCAGAATTCAGATGAAAATTGTTGCAAAATCTTTATTAAAAGCCTAATCAAGGCAAACAGTTTTATTGTGTTCTGAAATGAACATCCGATGGCTTGTCCTCCCTCCCCGCCCCCCGAGGACCGGCTGTGCTCGCCCACCCTGCAGAGGCCCCACAGCAGAGTTCCAGAGAGCACTCTGTGCTGCTCGTCAGAGAATGAACCTCCCGGTCCCCCATTAAAAGAAAAAACCAATCTCCCTCTCCCTCCATGCTCCCCAGTGCTCTAATGGGGCGACAGTCTCAATGCGGTGACCCACTTTAGGGTCAGCCAAACTGTACAGTTGCAAAAGGACATGGTGACCACGCGGCTTAGCCCTTCCACCCGGTCTTGTGTTACCGTTATATTTTCCCTTTCCTACTTCCTCTTCTTTTTTTTTTTTTAAGATTTATTTATGCATACAGAACTGGGGTCCAGGCCAGAGGTGCAGGGGATGAGAGGATTCACCAGAGACAGCGCAGGGAGCAGAACAGGCAGACTGAGGAAGTCCACTGCTGAGGGGAACAGCGGTCTGCTGTGCCCTGTGGGTCGCCTCCCCGGCCAGGGATCAAGCTCAAGCAGAAGCAGCTGCCACTAGCTTCACAGTGCTGCGCTTTAACCCGTTGCACCACCAGGGAGGGCCCTTCCTATTGTACCTACTTGTCCCTGTACAAACAAACTTGTCCCAAACTCCGCAGAGAGCTCTTGGGGAGATGAGCTTCTGCGGGGTCAGCTGTCCTGCAACAGCACCAAGGACCCCCAGCCCGTGCGTGGCGCAGAGCCTCAGGCCATCACTCACCCTTCCAGTTTTCTGCTTGACGAGCAGTGTGTGGCTTGCTGGCATTCCCTCTTTTGGCCTATTTTCTTCCCTTCGCCTGGTGCTCATTCTCACACCCATACTTTTCAGGGCTGCTTCCTCCTGATCAAGTTTTATTGCAAGGAAGGATTTATGTTGATGGTTTAAACCTGACGCAGTGCTAGTCTGGCCTTTTCTGTAGATTTCCTGCCACCGAGGCCCACATTAGAAATAACAGCACTTAACCTAGTGTTTCATTTTCTTTTGACATGTTTTATTCTCGTCCCTCCTCCTCCTTCTCCCTCTTTACCTCCCTGGCTTATTCTTTTCCTTTTCTCCCTCTCTTGACTCATTCTCATCTTTTCCCTGGCAGATTTGAGTTCCTTAACCATTCCATATGAAGAGGAGGAGGAGGAGGGAGAGGAAGAGACATATGATGACATTGATGGTGTGGACTCCACAAATTCTGGTTCTCAGTGCAGACCCATCGTCTTACCTGGGAGTTTGGGGCCAAAAGAACCCACAGGGGAAAACGAAGAAGATATTTATGAAGTCTTACCAGGTAAGAAATTTTATCTTCTAACTTCTGCCTTCCTCCAGTTTTAGGAATTCTCGGCCTGGTGGAATAATAGAACTTGGGAAACTCCAGGGGAAGCCAAAGCTCTAAAGGACAGAGTGGAGAGCTTCCTGTGACTCCCACTGCAAAAACTCTCTCTGGGAACAAAATGAACAGACCAGGGGTGGGGGGGGGGCGCTTTCCTCTGTGCCATGTGAAAGGCTTTATTACATGTCAACCTGTTGGTTTTCACGTGTTGAATGTGAGTTTTGGGTTGAGTCATCCAAACTCTCTAGGTTTCAACTTCTCTGTCTGAAAATTGTGAGAGTAATGGAAAGTTACCGTAAATTCATGGACATCAAAAGTCTAGAGGAGTATGGATAAATGCAGGTGAACTTTTTCAATAACCCAGTAAAACCCTGATAGAGCACAGCTCATCATTACCTAGCCCAGGTGTGCCACCAGATCGCATCTCTTAAAGATAAGCTGAGCCAGGCTCCTCAGCCACCATGACGGCAGGTCTGCTGTGTTGATTTCTTTCTTTCCAAAAGCATCATTACTGGCATCTCAAAAAAAAAAAAACTCATATCCTCCTCACTGCTTGTGCATAGCCTCAACTTGTGGGGTAAGAGCAGCTGCTGAACACCGCAGAGCACAGTGGGGGTCAGGCTGTGGAAAATCGGAGCCTGAGCCTTTTTAATTGTGAGGTAGTTAGACCACAGGAACGCTGAATCTTCAAGTCCATTCAGAAAGATCGCTACTGTGGAAATTTGCCAGGAGTTCAGTGCTCTGCTGAGAAATTCAAGTTAAGCCTAAATTTATAGCAATTTAAACCTCCATCCCAGATGAACCTAGGAACTAAGGTGAATCTAACACTCGGGCCCCTGAAGACAGGGCTGGTTGCTAAAAGCATCATCAATAGGCAACTTGCATTTTAAGACTTCTAAGAAGGCCTCACCCTGTCAAGGCTGTAATCACCACCTCCCTGGGGGAGAAGCCACGTCACTGCTTCCTGAGTGAATGAGCAAGCGGCTGGCGGCCACTCACCTCCTTGCTGGGACTTCACCCACCCACCTCCCAGAGCCTTCTCCAGCACTCCAGTCTCTGCATGTCCTGACTTCTCCAGCCTTTTTGTTGTGTTTTATTATGCAAATGATATCTTGGTTGAGGTCGAGCCATTTCTTGCGTCTGAAGTTAAAAAAAAATGATAATTTCCTCAGCAAGTCATCGTCGTTAATGAAGTTTTACAAAAACAGATACAACCAAAGGAAAATAAAATTTCACAGGTGATAAATTTTTCCAATTTCCCTGGCAGAATTCGATAGGATTGTTAAATTAAGAGTGAAGGTGTCTGTTAGAAAGCAACGAGCAGTGATGGGTAATTTTATAGAGTGGAAAATTGAATCAAATTGCTACATTAAAACACAGCTCCTCTGAGAATCTTCCCTTTCACAGTCTGCTCCATTGCAACAGCAGGGTGCAGACATGGATCTAATTCACAACACTCCCTAAAAGGAGATTCACTCCCCAACTTGGCCAGACTCTTCCGAGTGAGGTCATGTTCCTCTCACTCCTGCCCAGGCTTGGGGAGATACCCTGGCTCTGCTCCACTTTGGGTTACACCTGTGGAAGAGTGCCCTGGGGAAACCCACTGAAAGCCTCAGTCTTCTGGGGAGCAAAGAAGGATCTTTTCATCCATCATGCTGAGCCCTCAAAGGAGCGAGGAGGAAGGGGACTGATGCCCGGAGTCCGAGAGTGAAGGAGAGCGTGGGCCCACCTCCTTCCCCTCGGTGGGTCAATGAGTGTCTCAACCACCTTCCTTCCTTTGCCTCCTGAACTCCTGCCCTCGGCCCTTGCAGCACCATCCAGAAAATCAGGGCATTCCTCCAAAATTCACATCAGTTTAGATGTCGGTGTGAACTCCAAAGCCATGGAGTCTCAAACAGCTCGCAGCAGCTGTTGCTTGCAAGTGAGGAAGTCTGCATCGTGGGGGAACTAGGGTCTCTTTCTGCAGGTTAGGGAACTGGCAGCTATCTGGCATATACATTTCCAGGCGACAACCCCTTACCCAGCCAACAGGATCCTTCCCATAAGCCTCTGTCCATCACAGTTGTTAGAGACAATCTGGGGCATACTGGCACTTAATTGCTATATGAATATCTCAACAAATATCCATCACCCAGCTCCCAGGCACTCAGAGCACTCAGGAGAGAGTGCCCCAACATACAGTGAGCCCTCAGTAAATGCAGACTGTTACTAAGTTGGTGGTGTTTAAATAGCAAGTGTTATCTCCTTTAATACTGGGGGGGCGGTGGGAAGGGGAGTAGCTAGTTTCCCTTCTCCATCCACCAAGACCTGAGAGTGTGCAGTTAGACATTATCAAGTCTAGTAAGTTTAAAGCAGGTGATGTTGAAAATCCTGAGCAGGTAGAATGTGGAGCACACCTGCTGCCCAGGCCCATCGCAACCACAGGACAGGTGTGGGGTAGAGGGACAGCCAACAGCAACTTGGGAGTGTGCTAACATTGTACACCATCAGTAGTCAAGTAGATGTGGACTCAAACATTTGTCTCGTTACTGTAAAGCCTGGATGCCATCATTCGCCCCCCACTCTCCTCCTGCTCACCCCTGCTAATCCTTCTTCTTTGGGATCAGGCCGACATAAGCCTCACTGTCCCTGTGGGGCAGGTCATGTCAGTGATAGCTCCTTAGAATGCCATTTCCATGGGCTTCCTCCTGGAGAGAAAAGTGCCCAGAACACATACCAAGTCAATACAAAAATGTTTTTTCCTAGTCAAAATAATGTATAGGTCATCAAATTAAATGCACTCCATCACATTAATCATGGGATAATTAGCATTTGCTACATGGCTTGCAGGCTTGTTCCCTCGAGGAATAACCATAACACTCGAGGTTTTCAGCCAAGACCACAAAAATGCCAGTCCTGGATAATATGGTTTCAAGATTGGTATCTGGTGGGATTTCTGAATATCTGTGTGCAGGGCATATGGGATCCCTTGATTTTTAAGATCTCATTTGTAGTAGATTAAACTGCAGGAAACTACCACGAAGAAATGCCAAAGCAATATGTGAAAATAAGAGACTTTTCTGAGCCCTCTCTCACCCTCCCTGAAATTACTTTATAGGCTAACATAGGCCCAGTTTCGTGATTCAAGGTTCCATAAAAGGACAACTTTTATCGGGTTTCTCTGCATCTGGGGCCCGAAGCTGGCATCTAGCAAGGCGCCTGAGGCCATTAAAAAGCTGTGACTGGGCCCTTGCAGTGACGATGGCAAAGGAGCCTGTGTTCTCTCTGGGGAGACTTGAGGAGAGAAAACAGAGAGAGGGACAGAGAAAGTCTGGGAAAGTCTCTCCATATTCCAGGGGATTATTCCATAATCCACTCTGGAGGATTATTATAGACTCAGAAACCAGATTGCCTCATAATAAAGCATACAGCTGGCCTTTTTTTTTTTAAGTTTGAGTTAAGTGGAAATAAACATTCTGCGGAATTATTTCTCCCCTGTACAGTTGTCCAGACCCACAGGATGGCGGAAAGGGGAAGGCATGAGGTAGCAGGGGGAAAATAACAGTAGGAGGTCTAAGGCAGACACCAAAAATACAAAGTTTATGAAGAAAGTAAATTCCAATTTCATAGAAAAGCCACCCTCTACGGGGGGGGGGGGGACATCAAAGAAGCCTGGACGCCATCACCAGCTCCCCACTTCCCTCTTGTTCACCCCCACTCACACTGGGTCCCTGGCCACAAGGTACTGTTTGGCCAACACCCAAGCCAGAATCAGGCCATTTCTTCTGCCTAGAACATTCTTCTCTCCTTCCACCTTAGCCGACGAGGCCCTGCTCAAGTATGTCTCCTCAGAAACCCTCCCAGACCCTCAGTTGGTATTGAGGTCTTTAGCCCTTACCACAGTGATTTATACTCAGGCCTTGCTCCCTCGATTAGTAGGTAGGTGTCCAGTTATTATTTGTGAAATTAAGCTCAGTACTGTGCAAGTGTTGTCGTTAGCACAAAGCGAGGTTAATACCTTGCCCATCAAGACCACACCACAGAGATAGGAGGGGAGGCGGATAGCTTGAGGTAACAGTGGAGACTGCCAAATACACAAGAGAGAATTAAATGTATCGCTAGCATCTTGCTCACATTTTGCATGTGGTCTGAAGGGGCGCGAGGCACCCACAGACACATAACCCACTGGGGTGCTGTGGGTGCTTTCCGTTCCACTTTCTGTGTGGTCCCTTTGCACTTCGAATCTGTCTGCGTTTCTCTGTCACCAGAGCGCCTTCACAGCTGTTGCACATTGACTCATTGGCTGTTTTTAAAGCTTCTGTCACAGCTTTGTTCAGGGTAAGTGGGTTCCCTCTTCCGATCTAGTCACTTTTTGAATGTTTCCTCTGCATTGGTTTAGCTGACCCCAGAGAAGCCCTCCAGAAAGGAGCCAGGTGCCGGGAGAAACTGCTGCTCTCCGCCTCCGAGGGGGAGGCAGTGTCCTGTCCCTTTCAGCCTCTCATTAGTGTCCCTGACATTGTGCCAAGAGTGTTGATTGAAATCAAATCTCTGGATACTGATGCTCATTTGCGATGCCCCATGGTTCTTTCACGTGTTCGCACAGTTAACAGAATCCTCCTCCACTGTTTTCCCAACTGAGATGAGATATTTGGGAATCAAGTAGAGCATTTAATGTAATAAGTGGACAGTAATCTTTAGAGGTTAATTTGCTTAAAACCTATGTACGGTTGGGGTCCCACATGCCCTGTAGGAGCAAGGAGCATTATAATCTATTACTGTTTAAAGTTGAACTAGCACATACATTTTAATTCTCTCCTAAATGAAGATGTATTTTCATTGTAATGCTAAATGTGATACTAAAATCCCTGATTATTTTCTTAGAAAGAAAATTTGGCAATCTCTTTAAACCCCCCCCCCAACTTTTTTTTTTCAAATTAATCTCTTTAAGATTAAAGCCTCACCTTATAGAGGAATAACAATGAGAAGTTTGGCTATTTCGCCCATCCTCCTTTTTGTGAACAAACACTTTTTTTCTGTTGCCATCATCAGCTTTTTTACTTTGGAGTTTGAGCTATACCAACCCGATTTTTTTTGAGGGGTCCGAGATAAATTGTATGCTCCTCTGGGCATGGTGCCCTCTGAAGCTAGGATATGTGCTTTTCACCGCCAGCTGGGAAGGCGCTTTCCTTCACTATGTGGTGCCCACACCTCCCTGCTCACACTTTCAGAGCCCCCAGCCTTTCACCTCAGTCAGCTTCTTCACTTGAGCCCACTTTCAGCCATGGGGAAGAACAACGTTAGAAAGAACAGATGTGGGGATTGGAGCTTCCCCGTTCATACATCACTGGAGAGCTTGGTAATAGTGGTGAATCATATATAAGATCTGTGGCATGTTCAGCTTGCTGTCTAGGTGGTTCCACACACACAATGAAATCAGAGTATCTGATCTGGAAGTGAACTACATAGAACGGATTTTTTCCCCCCATTTTTGTATCATGACTAGATGAAGTGCTTTTGTCTGAAAGGATAAAGAAATCAAGTTTTAGTTTTCATTTTTATCATCGCAAATACATTTACATTCTTCTCTTTTACAAATGCAAAGAGCAGGCAAGCCACTTTCAATAATTTATTTTAAAATCAATGCTAATGAGGTTATGTCTCGTCAGTGGCCAAGTTTTACAATAAAGTCTGATTTATTTAGAAAAGATCTTTGGTGTAGCTTCCCATCTAATGGTGGTGGGAAGGGGGTGGAGTAGCAGGCACGGTGACCCTCCAACTTCGGATCCAATTTGTAATTCACAGCGGAGATCTGACCCAATTTACATTGATTAGAATTGGGAGGAAGAGACATCTGCACACAGCCAGCAGAGGTAGAATAAACCCTCTCTGCAAAAGTGTCTCAGCACAGCAAATTATTGGTCTTTGTGATGGAGTTGCTTGATATCAGCAAAAGAGCCACTCTTGTCCAAATTATTAGGTATCTCTAAATCCAAGGACACACCAACTCTTGATGTGTTCAATCCCATGAAATTAGTCTCACATCAAAAAGGAAAGGCATCATAGCAACGGAAGGAAATGGGCAAGTATTAAGAAGACGATGTGCAAAGGATGATGTTTAATGTGATTTATTTCAGTGTGCTCTATTTCCGTTATTTTATGTCACTCCTCCATTATTCATATTTTTATTCCTGATGATGGTGTCAGAGGAGCAGTACAAGTGGCGAGTGGGAGAGTCTCTGCTGTCACACATGGGGATAGAAAAGTAGTCCTTTTCCAACAGCACCTTCTCGGGCAAGATATTTGTATCTACAAACACATACACACATATATAATCAACACAGGTCACATATTTTTCATGTTAGTAGCATGTGACTTATTTCCCCAAATACCAATCCCTTCATTTTTATTTTTGCAGGGGAACTGTATCGTTTTGTATATGAAACCAATTATTTCTCTACATATTGTTATGTTGTTTCATCTTACTTATGAATTTTCAGCTTACTTCCCCCAGTCTGACATATCAGAACTCATATGGCTGTATAAATCTTACATTGAAACCCTGGGGGGATATCCCAAGACCATCTCCTCAAAAGTTCTATTTAGTGGTGGAACAATGAGGAAGCAAGATAGGTAAGTGCCCTAAAATTCCAGCAAAAGAAAGGATATTAATATTGCCAAGAGAAACTGAGAATTCAGCCCCTAAAACATTGCTTGTTGTGATCATTCTCTCTCTCTCTCTCTTTCTCTGTGTGTGTTTTGTACATGTGTGTGCGTGTGTTCAAGGAGGGAGAAAAACAAGAGAAGAGAAAGTGGCAGTGAAAAGGAGAATAGCACATGTATTTTTATTCATTTACCCCCTATGTAAAATAGCTAAATAGGACTCTGTTACTCATGCTTTCTGTAGAAAGGCCCAACTCCCATGTTATCCGGTAATACGAGTCTAACATAAAACAGGTTACTGAGTAAGAAGCTTAAGCCAGTCCTGTTGTGTTTTTTTCTGTCCATGTTGTGATTTTGACCATGCAAAACACTTGACTGAGACAATAGCATTGACTTAGAACCTACTGTGTACCTGCTGGGATTCTGACTGCCTTCAAGAGCTTACACTCAAATAAATAAGGCAGGCCGAAATAACAACAGGAAAGAAACTACCAGCTCGAGTACGGGGAACATAAAAATATGTACAAGACCAGCTACCGCTGAACGGAGCTTAACACGGAGGGCTAGTCTGAGGGGTTTTACTCGTGTACTCAGTAACACACAAACTCTAAGTGCCCACGTGAGACAACTTGTTCTGAAGAGAAATCCAGAAGGGAAGACAGGGTTGGAAGAAAGGATTCGGAGCCTAGTGGCAGGCCATGAAGAGCCCAGTGGACGGGAAGCGTGGCGAAGGCAGGCCCCTGCCGGTCTCACCTGCTGCTACAGTGCTGCTCCCGCAGCCCCAGTAAGCATTGGTGTCTGCGCATGAATGAGCAGGGAGGGAAGGCGCTGGAGAGCCCAAGTCTGAAGGTGAGGCATGGTTTAAGCAAAAAAATAAAAGAAGATGGTAATTATTTCCCCAAAGGAGAGAGCATCCCAAGCTCAGAGAAACAAGACCTGTGGGTACGAAGAACTTAAGACTTGACCACTGTTTGCTAATGCTGATCATGTTTCTACCCTCAGATGAAGAGCAGGATCCAGAAGAGGATGAGAGTGACAGGGCGCAGAGCGGAGGTAAGAGCTTCCTGAAGTGCGGGCGCTGACTGGGACCGTGGGCTCCTCTCTCCATAACGGGCAAACATTACTGGACTCGCTAATTAAGAGGGTGCTGGTGTGTTGACCTCAAAAGCCCGGAGTGAGATGACTGGATAGGGAAATATCTTAACTTTAAAAGCAGCCACCCATTCACTGTAATTAATGTTCCCAGAACAGCTAAGATTTATCCTAGACAGGGTGGGAAGCCACACCAGATATTTATTTTTTCCTATCAGTATTTCTTAAATCAGTACAGTGAAAATAGAATTGCCTCATCTCGAAGAGATCGGAGGATCGAGAATGGAAATGTCTCCTCTCTGAGAGGCGCGGAGATTGCAAGTTCAGAGGGGAATGGAAATGTGTCAGATCTGAAAAGTGAACATGGGGTGAAGGATAGAATTGCTTGGTGATGCTGACTTCTGATGGCCTGGTTTGATTCCAGGCACATTTGGAAATGAATATGTAACAGGTTTGTTGAATACAAAATTACATCTTATTCATCCCAGACTGTTAACCATGCTCAGGCTGTTAGTGAGCCCATCTTTTCTAAGGCCAGACGCCCCGCCAGCACCTCCCTAAGTGGCCCAAAGACCGATTCCATCCTTGTCAGCTAAGGACCACACACCCCAAGGGCCACCTCAGGGACACCGCTCCATCGGCAGGGCCTGGGCTGCGGCTGGTTTAGATGCTGGCTGGCGCTTTTCTTAGAGTCTGTGAAAGTCCAGGAACTCTTTTCCTTCCGCTAGCCCTCCTTTTCCCTTTCCTGCCTTTCCTTTCCTGAGCCCTTTCTGTTCTCATCCATTCAGCCAAGTTCCCTTTCCTTGGCCCATCATCAAAGGGAAATGAAGCTACAGAGGGTTTAGTGAAGGACCCAGGATCTCCCAGGGGAGAGAAAAGACAGTGACGTCATGTACCAAAGCAAATAAAAGAGCTCAAGCAGGTAGGGTGTGGGGGTTCATGCAACTTTAAGTAAGCGCCTCAAGACAGCTAACACATGCAGTTAAGTCCATTCCGAAACCTCTTTCCTGCTGTTTCCTATGCGCTGCGTAGAACAACAGAAAAAAGTCTTTTCTGACCAACACATGGCCCACATATGTCTTTTCTTGACCAACTTCCCTCACCGGGCAGGGAAGAAACTCTTCATGTGGCTGTTTTGACAAGGCTGGCTGGAAGCTTCCTGTGGTCCACTTTATGCACTCAGAGAACAGCGTCTTCTAGCAAAAGTCTGACATTCAGTTTTAGTCTCATCTCATTTTCTCCTTCTACCTCTCTTCTGAGGTTCTGTCTGGGGATAAGGGGACTGTTCCCACAACTATAAGTCAAGCAGGTTGGCTGTCGTTTCTCTCTTAAGCCCTTTGTTCCTCATGCTTCCTGCCTACAAAATAGGTGTCGTTTAAGTGAAGCAAGATCTAAATATGTTTCTGGGCCCTCCCTGGTGGCGCAACAGGTTAAATAAAGCGCAGCACTATGAAGCCGGCTGAAGCCGCGTCAGCATGGGTTTGATCCCCAACCAGGGAGCTGACCCACACAGCACAGTAGACCGCTCCTGACCCCCCCGCTGCTCCCTTCAGCAGTGTACTTTGTCAGTCTGCTTGCTCTCCTCCCCACTCTGTCTCTGGTGAACTCTCTTAACCCAACACCTCTGGCCTGTACCCCAGTTCTGTATGCATAAATTAAATCTTTAAAAGTTTCTGTAGGTGATACATCCCAACAGTTAGAGTGATTGGTGACTTGGTGAACGAAGAGCAGAGGAGGACTTTTCATGCTCCCCACAAAATCTGAGGCAGGAGTTTTTATTATTTGTGTTTACTTATTTATTGAATTTATATAGTAATTTTCTTCTAATGTCTCTATAGAAATGGCAGCAAATGTGCAACATCCAAATGTCATTACTTAGCTTTATAACAATAAAATATACAGTTCCAAGAGAAGGGCAGAACAGGCGAGGAACCCCACGGAGGCCTAAGACAGGCAAGGAACTTTAAAGTGACGTGAATTCTTAGTCAAAGACAAGCTAAAAAGGTTTGGTTCGTTTCATTTTTCTCAGGTGTCACACCTTTTGGGGAGGGAGGGAAAGATACTGTGCTAGCAGGATTACTTTTAAGAGCCATATACATTCCTCTCCAGTATTTCATAGATCCTATTCCCCAGTGTTGGACTTATTCCCTGGTGGAATTGCTGATGTTTGTAAAGCCAACCAGATCTTATCAGAATGGGGTGGGGGAAAGAATTCTGTTTATCCTGATTGGGTGTTAATGACCCTGTAAGATGTAATTTCTTTTATTTTATTCTGTTACCAAGAAAATCTATCACAGCCTTGTAGTATTGATTGTTCAATCTATAAAGAGCTTGGTTTACAGCATGACTGTTCGTAACAGGGTTATTTTAATGAGTGACTCTTCAGCACCTCAGATTTCCACTAAATTCCAACCCGTCAGCCTAACAGTCTCACACTGAATGTCTCAGTGATGAGAAGCTTATCTCCCAACCCTGCCATGAGAAGGGAAGACCCAAATAACAAAAAATAAAACATCCTGTGCTCTTGACACTAAAGCTGCTAACATTTGCTCTGGTATGCCATGGCAAAAAAAAAAAACAACATAATTAGAGACACAAATCACACTTAGGTGCATCAAATCTCTAATAGAGGAAGTCTTGAAACAGGTTGTTTTTGCTCAGAGTCTCTGGGTAAGTTCAGCAAAGGAATAAACCAGTTTCAGTTAAACAGAAAAATGGTTGATTATGAAGCTCCTGAGGCAGTCTTTCTAAAACTCTTCACTGCCAGTAGTGTGAGGATTACACAGAAGAAACAAGGAAGTCACAGAGGTATTTTACAGCTTTTTTAAAAAAAAAAAAAAAACCTATTTCCCAAGACTAAACATGAGTTGATCATCAGTCAACAATAATTTTGGCCCAATAAAAGGAGCACATGTGAAGGAAATCCAGACTTGAGTTTTCCCACACTTCAAAGATCATACGTACAGCATGCAGAACTATAGTCATTTCAGAACTCAAGATTAAAGGGCTATGTGGGCCCTCCCTGGTGGCACAAGGGGTTAAAGCTCAGCAATGTGAACCTATCTGCAGAGTTCGATACCAATCCAGCCAGGGAGCTGACCCACAGGGCGCAGCAGACCTCTCCTGTCCCACCTGCTGCTCCCCTCAGCAGTGTATGGCAGTAGATCTGCCTGTTCTGCTCCCCACTCCATCTCTGGTGAATCCTTTCACCACCCCTGCACCTCTAGCCTGTACCCCAGTTCCTGTGTGCATAAGTAAATAAATCTTCTAAAAAACAAATTGAAAACAAGCCATTGGTATTGTTTGGTGTTTTTTTTCTGTCCTGGCCTAGAGAACATTTCAAGTCCCTTCATTTGAGCACAGCTTTGGCCCTCTTTGTCTGTTTCTCACTGACCCACGCTCTAGCAAGGACTGACATTACCTGTCTTCTCATTTTGTCTCTCTCTCCCATTGTGGTATGCAGTGCCAGACCTCATTGGCATAGTCCTTTGATCAAGAAATGTAAACATGTTGACCTGCATTTAGCCTTTTTTCCTATTCACAGCTGAATTCTGTAGCTACCCAATGTCTTCCACACAAAAGCCCAAGGACAGATGAACTCTGGAAGGTACACAGTCAGCTTCTGTTGTCTCTAAAAAGGGAGAGAGACAGAAAGATGTCCTGGTCCTTTTACCTTAGAAGCCTCCACATCACAGACTCATTTTCAAGTATTTGTAACAGGGTGGTCCCCAGGAAAAGGGACATACTGACTCTGTCAACAGTAGCAGCAACTTGGCGATACAGGAAAAATGGCTACCACTCGTTATAAAGAGCTTGGTATGGAATGACAAATGCTTTGCAATAAATACATAGAAAAAAAGAGTAAAGCAATATTTTTTAACTTGTTTTGTTGCTAGTCTTCCTATGACATTTTGTTTGCTTATAGCTTAACTTCTTTTACGTGGGAGAAAGAAAATACGATATTGTCCCTTTTTTTCTCTCTAGAAAAAGTCCTTCTCAGCTCTGCTAGCAATTTAAATGCAGTGATCATACCCATTAGCTTCTCTATCATTGTAATTGTTGTTAATTGTTATAACTGTTTTAGTTATTAGTGGTGTCATTATTGCTCTAGGTCCTCTGTCTGTTTTATGCTGAATATATTAGTGCTTTGCTTTTGAATTACCAGGCTTTATTTAGTGCAGAGTTACTTTTTTTTTTTTTTTTTTTTGGAAAGACATTGAGAAATGCTGGCATTAAGCTTTATTCTTTTGTTTTTCATTCCAAATGGACAGACTGGAAAAAAAATAATTAGATGGAATAATGTCCTCAAAATGAGAATGAGGATGTTTTGAATTAATTAAATGGTCAGAATGCTGTGCCGTCTCTGATCTCAGAAGACGGTTGCCAAGGTAGTGTAATGGTACTTCTTCCAGCCCACAGAGGCCACCCTCTCTGTCAGGCTCCAGGCCTCTCCCTGATCTACTTGTTCGTAAAATGAGCAGAGCGGTTCTAGGGAGCAGGCAGACTGGTCCTGCAGACTTCCCTATCTTTCCATCTTCCATCTCGGGGCTCACTCTTCCTGGGGCCACACTCCAGCAGTGAAATCCTCCTTAGCCCCGCCTCTTCCCTTCTTCAAGTTCTTTAAGTAACACCCACAGTTGATGGGTATTTGTTTGTTTTTACATCTTATTTATTTATGCATACAAGAACTAGGGGTACAGGACCAAGGTGTGGGGGTTGAAAGGATTCATGAGCAACAGAATGAAGAGCAGAACAGGTAGATTGACTGAAATACACTGCTGAGGGGAGCAGCGGGCGACACAAGGGAGGTCTGCCGCAATGTGTGGGTCGCCTCCTTGGCTGGGGGTCAAACTCATGCTGCAGTGGCTGCGGAGAGCATCATAGTGCTGCGCTTTAACCCGTTGCACCACCAGGGAAGCCCTGTTGATCAGGTTTTTGACACAACTAAATCTTCAGGAACGCCTTCCCTGAGCCCTCGCACTAGGTTAGGCTCCTGATTACATGAAGCACCTTCAGCTTGTCCACTGCAGACGGTTCACAGTCATTTATAAATAAATATTTGTGTAACTCTAGTCCACCCTGCTCCCCTACTGGCTGGTAGCCCTAAGAGCAGGAACTGTGTGTCGCCAGTGTGGGATTCCCAGTGTCCAGCGGTCCTGGGAACTCAGCAAGTGTGTATGTGTCTGAAGTTGTGCTGCAAATACACATAAAGACAAACCACACATGTGTTAAACCAGGAGTCTGCAACCCCAAGTCCAGCCTTGTCCAGCTATAGGGTCCCTCTCCCTGATTAACCTCCAGCCAAAACACCTCTGTTCACACAGTCATTCCAACCTTTCCACACTTTTTGTCTTTCATCCTGGTTGTTTTTCAGGGCTGTCTTATTATGGTTCTGATGGTTCCAGTTCTTGGGTTAGGCTAAAATACTTCCTGAATTCCTAAACTCTGTTTCTTTTTTCACTTACAAAGAACAAAGGCATTTTCTTTCTTTCTTTTTTTTTTTTAAAGAATTATTTGTTTAGAAATAAAGAACTGGGATAAAGGCCAGAGGTACAGGAATGGTGAAAGATTCACCAGAGACAGAGTGGGGAGCAGAACAGCAGATCTACTGAAATACACTGCTGAGGGGAGCAGTGGGTGAGACAGCAGAGGTCTGCTGCGCCATGTGGGCACCTGCCCATCCCTGGCCAAGAATCGAGCTCCTGCTGAAGTGGTTTTAGATTCATTCGTAGTACTGTGTTTTAACCTGCCGCGCCACTAGGGAGGGCCCAAAACCAAAGGCATTTTCTATCTTTATTTTTCTTGGAAGGCTTTTGTTTTCCTCCTAGCTGTCTGCTTTTCCTCTAATCTGCTGTGCGTTTAGAATGCGTCTTTTCCCACGTATCCCCCTCAGGTGTCTTACATCAGCCATACCAGATCACTTTGTATATATACCACAGTGAATTTACACATAATCTTGGGACTACCCCCCACGAAGCTGGAGAGCAGCACCCCACACTTACCATCTGCTAAGCCAGAAAAAGCCAAAATAACTTCATCCTTCTCACCATTCAGAAATATCAAGCTATATTTAAAGAATCGTTTTTTTTACAAAATAACTTTCTCTGCCTTAAAAAATATTGAGGTCAATATATTTTTCATTCCTAATTTTTTCCAGAATCTTGGGGTAATTAATCAACTCAGTTATGACTGAAAATACATTAATATGGGGAAATTGTTTTCACTTTCCATGGACTGATGTTTCTGTATTTTTTCATGCATTGTCTTTTCAACAGTTAGCAATATTAGCATTTTTCTCCCCAACGTATTTTTCTTCCCAACATGTCTCAACTCTGGCAGGCGGTTTCCAGTGCGGTTGTCTTATTTGCTGCCCTCTGTTGTCTGCAGCACATGCAAACAATTTTCTGTATAAACAAATCACACCCCAGTTTCTATATGGTTAACACTTCTGTTTGTGATCCGAGTCTTAACTAAATAACTCTGGTCCTGCCTCTGTTTTTTGTACCTGCCTGCTAAAATTCTTTTCCAGACATCTATAGGGACTTTGCTCTACTGTGCCTTTATTTGAATTGCTCATAAGTTAGAAATAAGTAGGGGAAAGCAATATAGCCGTGGCCTCTGCCCCTCCCCCCACCCACCCGCTGCCCTCTGCCCCCACCCTCGGCAGTTGGCACATCACACCTGATGGGCGGGTTGAGACGCAGTGAAAGGTGGAAACTGCTGGAATGGGATCCCCAAACTTCTCTTGATTTTTAATTAGCACCCAGGACTGCTGATTCCTATCAACAATGGCTCTGTGATGGGCGCTTTGCTTACAGCTGTCGCACAGAGGGTTCAAAGGAATGGGGAGCACTGCCACATTCTCCCTGGTGCGGTGGGCATTAGCGCTCCTGCCATTCAGCTCCCCAGATCCGCTCCCACTTTGTACTCTAGTGTTTAACCTTTCCGGGTAGAAGAAGATCAATACAAATTCTTCATTGTTAAGAATCGATGGCTGTCCTGTGGCATCACTGCCATCTAGTCTTGCTGAGAAGCCCTGTAAATCTCTCCAGCTGCTTCAAAAGCTTGGTTTGTCGTCTTCAGTTGCTTTCATTTTTAATGCAGATCACTTTGGTTTCTGTTCCCCTGGGGGCTAACAGATAAATCTTGGCAGACATGTTCAGGGTCTACAAATGAGATGCTGGAAAAGGGCCAGCCCACCCAGAATTTAGTTATAATGGATGAGACACCCCCTTAGTTCCATTTTTAAAGACTGGGCTATTTGTTTTCGTATTTATTGGTGATTACCCCATATAGTACCTGGGTGGGAAGTGCCCAGGATGAAGTTTTTGCAGAGGCCAAGGAGTGAGATTATGATGCAGACACATGGTCTCTATAAATAGACACAAGTCAGAGAACCCCATTCCTTCAAATGCATAAGAAGAGAAGCACTGGATATTGTAGACTCTTTGGATGGAGAGAGTCAGGCAGGAAATCTCCTTGTGCTGCTTACTTACAAACCAAGTGAAAAATTACCTGTCTGATTTTCTTTTATTGAAAAATGAATATATTTATCAGATTCTTGAATAGCATCTGACTAAGGTGATCGGTAAATATTTAATGTTAGATAATGATCTCCTCCCCCTTGCTCACATTGAGAGTTTGTATCTCACCCGACACCCCTGAGTCTTAGGTTTCCCAGGGGCAAAATCAGAACCCTGGTTTCCATTGCAGCAAAAATGTGGGCTCCATGGAAAAAGACTGAGTCCTTTTAACTTTAGCTTCTCCTCTCTTTGATCAGTGGACTATGCCAATTATTACCAAGGCCTATGGGATTGCCATGGCGACCAGCCAGATGAACTGTCCTTCCAGCGTGGTGACCTCATCCGCATTCTGAGCAAGGTAAGAACAGAGTGTGAGGCTCGGATCAAAAGTTGATTTTTTTTTTCACTCTTGTTGACATAGTCACAAGAATTATTCCTTGTCATTTGCTTCTCTTGTGTGTATTACATGGCTCCCTTTCACAGAGAATAAATTCCCATTGATTTATAATTATTAGGGAAATTTTTAATTAAAAATTCAGATTCAAGAACCAATTTTCAAAGAAGAAAAATACAATAAAGTGGACATAATCCTATGCCAATCACAACTTGACCTTTTCAGGGCATTGTAGAGCGCAAAAGGTCCTCGCTGTGTACATAATTTATTGTATCATACTCTTGAAAACATCCTGACTAGATCAGTTGCCTTCTTATTTCATTTATGGATACCAAGGCTGTAATATCATTATGTATAGAGGAGGAGACAGAGCTAGCTAGAGCAATTGGTTTGAGCAAGTGCTGATAAGGCCAAGATAATGAATCCAATCCCACACCAGCCAGCTAACTTCATTCTCTTTCTCAGCCACAAAGTAACCCCTACCCCTAGCTACTATCTCACAAAGAGTGTTGTTGATCCAAAAAGAATTGAGTAAAGAATAAAAAACTAAAAGCTGACTTACTGCACACCTACCACCAAGGGGCAGAAGACTCAGAACGCACGGACTACTGTTTGAGGGGTCAGTAACATCATTGTAAAGAAAGACTATATAGCTGTATAGATGGGCTAAGGAAATAGGTTCTCTCCCTAGGGGGAAAAAAAAAAGCTTATCATAAAGTTCTCTCTATGAGGTCGATTAATATCTACAAACACATTTTTAAAATAGGCATAATTTGCTCTTTAATTGCTGAGTTTGCGGATTCCATAAAGGAAAATTGAAAACCCACTGTGTTATTAACCCATCATTTGCTGCTTATCTTTAGTCTGCAAATGTTAATTCCTTAGCCAAGGGTTTGCCTTGGTTTGAAATACACCATAAAACCCTTAGGAAACAGACCAGGGCTGAGCCAGGTGAGCTTTTGGTGATCCCAGCAGGTCCCCTTCGAAAGGGGATCAAAATTAGACCCGACCCTTCAAGAAGATAGGAGGCCTGCAGGTCCTGTTCAGTAAGGTCACAACATTCTAATGATTTCTTCCAGAATCCTGACTCAACACCACTCTCATGCCATTCCAGTGTGGCTCCAATACCCCAAGAATAAACTAGAAGCAAAGTAGGGAGTGGACATTGGCCTGCTTGGTATTTCAAATGCCCGAAAGCAAGGTTTGCCTTGTAATAGAATTTGTGTACATTACCACGCTGGCATTACAGGGGTAATCGAGTTATCCACTCAGGTGTGACCAGGCCTCTGTTTGCCCAGAGCCTGCAGGTGAACAAATTAACTGTTTACATTGTCTGAGGTGCCTGCAGCAGGAAAGGGGGGGAACAGAGCCAGGCTGTCTGCTGGCCTTCTCTCTCGGTCATAATTATTTTGTTTGTTTTGCATGTCTTTTGCCTTTGTTAATGGCTTCTCACTGGGGGTCCCTTTCCTCCATTTAGAAGGGGCTGTGCGGCGACTTGCCTGCAGTACAGAGCAGTCTGCAGTTACACGCTGTTGTATTTTTAAAAGCTAGAGAAGAACTTGGGGAGCCATCTCTCTCTCTCCTTGCCCAGCCCCTTTGTCCTCCATTATGAAAAGCTCCTATTTCCGGGTGTGATTCAATGAGAGTGCCTGGCTTCCCTGATTCTGTGACCCTCTTTCTCCGTCTTCTGGAATGTCCTAAGTTCATTTTCATCTCGTACTGTAGTTGTACCACATTTCCCAAAAAAATACGCCCACTGCCTCCCTCCCCCAGGGTACATGCCCGAGGAGGAGGAGGAGCTGAGATGCCAGAAGCTCCGCTGAAGTTTCCCTCATAAAGTTTCATTCCAGTTAAGTCTGGCTTGGGGAGCATTTTGAATTGGATCTACCTTTATTCTATTACTTAATTCGATAAGAGCCCTTAGACTGGAAGGAACCTTAAAAGGCCACCCAATCCATCCCCATTGTCTCCAAGAAGCACAAATGAGCCAATTCAGACAGATAGAAAAGGAGATTCTGCTACTGTTCTCAGCTGTCTTGTCTGTTCAGCTGTTCAGTTAGCTCCTGCTCTGGAAGTTTCTTTCGTAGGCTCCTAAGTTCATTCCACGTTAGCCCCAGTTAGCTTCCTTTGTTGAAGCCTGTTACACTTTGCAGCCTGCCGCCTCGTACCTAGAGAAACAGAACAGACCCGAGTTGAGGCTTATCCACGAAAATAGAATCCAGAAATCTGCATCTCACTTTTCTCTCTGGCCAGTAGAACCTTCATCAGACAAGAAAAGCCTGCTGTTCCCTGAGAAATCAAGACAAACACAACTGCCAGCAGCTCAGTTCACCTGGGCTGTCAAATGAAAAGAGTGTGACAGATGGCCTCTCGGGTTCCTTCCACCCTCAGCACGCCACTCTGACATGGTGAGGCTGGCACTGCTAAAGAAATTCCACCCAAAATGTGTTTTCACCTTAATTATTTATTCAGATTCAACAAACTCCCAAAACTTCTATCATGAGCCTTTGTCTTAGCCCCTATAATTGCATCTGGCTGCCTCCTCTGTCTTTGTCTGACAAAGGGATATCTGAAGGAAGGCAAAGGTAGACAGGTGGAGAACAGGAAGTAGCCCCCTTGATGAGGAAATGGGCAGGGATGTGATAGGATGGGGGTGTGGGTAGACAGTAGCTTTATTCTTGGGCTCCTGCTGCTCCCTGCTATTTCTTAAGTTGTTCCACTTCCCCTTGGATCCTAGCACGCGAGGGCCTGCAGAGACTGTAGGTCCTAGGGCTTTTGAGCAGAAAGGATCCCAGAAAGAGAGCGTTTTCCCCTTTTTGTAAAAGTATTTCCAAAGAGGATTGGCTGTGCAAGAAAGATGCACCCCACAAATATCTGTCACCGGGCCTGTTCTGACCAAAGCAAGCCAGTAACAGATGGATTATTTATGTAACCCTGAGCAAAGTCACTTCATCTTGCTCACACTCAGATTTTTATCTATAAAAATTGGGATAACTTCTACTTTGGGGTGTTGCGATGCTCACTTTAGAGAATTTCTGACGTGCCTAACGCGTGGGGAATGGCCACTGTGATTCTTGTTCCCTCTTTTCCTCTAACAAAGTAAACCTTCAGGGCCGTGTTCGACACCTACTAGGTGTTAGATAAGTGATGGGTGGATTGAGAAGGAACGGGAGGCGCCCATCCTGCCAGGGCCTCAGCACACAGGCTCAAAAGCGTCTCACTTAGCAACAGAAAATTGCCCCTCAGGAGGCCTAGGTAGGAATCCACCCTGCCCGTCCACCCTGCGGGTCCACCACGGACAAAGCTGAGCAACTGTCCAGTTCTGGTTGGCAGAGAGGCCAGAGCCATGTCCCCAGGCCCTGAAACAGCAACCAGAGGCCCAGTCAGCAGGAATCCCTGCTGCCCTGCCCGCCTTTCCCTGGCCCCTGCAACTGCATGCTCCTTCAATTCACTGAGTTCCAATTTAGGTCTTAAAACATATTAAAGGGAGATTTTAATAACGAAGCAGATCTGTGCATCCAGCGGATGTTCCTGCATTCCTTTCGGGCCCAGATATTTCCGAACAGTTTTTTCTGGTGCAGGGACAGAGCGTGGCTTCCGCCGGCGCCGGGACTCAGCGCAGGCCACAGCGGGGTGTTTAGCGCTCTTCAGTGGCTCCAGATTGTGGCGCTTGTGCAGGTCTCATCATACGTAACCGATGGCTCCTGAGAGCCTGCGTCTCGTAAATTACTTCCCACGATGCCTGCGACCACCGCAGAATTCAACTTTGAATAGAGCAGGAAAAGGTGTTTGAAAGGCCTGTTCACTCAGCTGCATTTTAATTTCCTTTTCAATCTTGTCCCAATTAATTTCACAGAATTAATCTCACAGAAGCAAAGTCGCAGCGTTGAGGCTGCGGTTTCAGTGTGGCGGTCGCTCTGCCTGAACATGAAATAGGAGCTAATATAAAAATCCATCTGCTGCGTTTGAAATACACACCGGCTGCTGCTCAGCCCTGTCTGACATTCCAGACATCAACAGCGGGGGAAAGTGATTTGGGGGTTAGTGGCCATCAGTACTTGGCCAGGGTTCAACAACAGGTGTACTCCAAAAATCCATTCAGCCCGGGCACCAGGCATGACAGGGCAAGTGCCCACCCTCCCTCCGTATTGCATCGCTGCACCCTGGCCGGGCTCCTGTATCCGAGGCTCACCAGGCCGGCTGCAGAAAACGCCACTCTGGGCGTCTGTTCTAAGAGCGAGAAAGGGAGATTAGAAACCTCAGTTTGGATAACACAAGACACAAGTCGCGGCTTTCAGAGAAGTGACTGTCTTCCTGGCTCACTGGAGCAGCTTCTCTTGAAAAAAAAATAAGTGTTTGTTCCCCTCTGTGACATAACTTAAATGCCCACTTAAAATGAAGTCCCCTGTTCCAGAGGTGACTTACAGTGGTAACAAGAGCTGTCCCACAGACAAGGGCAAATGAAAAGAAAAAGACAGAGAAACTCTTTCTCACTTGACTGGAAAGGAAAAAAGTCCGCTGAGAGGGGCTTCCGTTTAGGGTAAACTGAGTCTGGCTTCGTCTCCTGGGCCTGTGTCGTGGCCTCGTGAGCTGGCGCTGGGCTCCTCTTATGTTTTGCCAAGATACTTATTTCCATGAAAATCATCTTTGGAGCAACAAGTTGCATAACACGTCTGCTTTATTACTTGTGGGGTATTTTAGCTGGGGTGAGAAGATATTCTTGTAGTCCAAACATGCTAGGCTTGGGCTGTCTTCTCTGCTGATAAAGAAACAGGGAGCCTTCCAAACAAGGTCAAGTTTAACATCAGAAGTACTTAATGTTAAGCTGTCAGAAGGCCACGGCCTTATGTGGGTAAGGACAGATCAGTTCTGTCACCCTGGGTGACATTTAGCTTCTGCCACTGGGTCAGAGCTTAAGCTCAGGCTAGAGCCTGTCCCCAAACCCAGCTTCCAGTTATCTGGTT